GTGAAAATAAATGAAACTCAGTGGGCTGAAACAAATACTCAAAAGGCGAACCTGTTTGCTGAACACCTAGAGAAAACCTTCAGTCCAAATGAAGGCCAAGACGTTATTGGGTCATGTACAAATTGGCCTGAAGGCGACACTGCAATTGTTCCAGCCACTATACTGTAAGCTGCTATCATCGTATCTAAACGACAGGTACTTCAGTGTTAAATATGAAGATGCACATTCAGCACTAAAGAAGATTAGCGCAGGCGTCCCGCAGGGAGCATTCTTGGGTCCATTCTATATCTCCTGTATACACACGACTTACCCTCTGCAAACCAACTAGTTACAGCAACATTTGCAGACGATACTGCGGTTCTAGCAAACGAAAACAATATAGAAGACGCGACGGCTAATCTGCAACACACAATCAATCAAATTGCTTCATGGGCAAAAAAATGGAGAATAAAGCTATATAAGGAAAAATCAGTACATATAGTCTTCTCATTGAGAAATTATAACCATATTCCAATTCATATCGATGCTACAAAAATTCCGCATGCCAACGAAGCCAAATATCTGGACATTACGCTCGACGCTAAGCTGCGCTGGAAAGCGCATGTTCAGAAAAAACGAGAAGAGCTTGACCTAAAACTAAACAAATTATACCACCTCATTGGCAGGCACTCTAAACTGGCAATCCACAACAAACTAATGGTCTATAAACAAATACTGAAACCGGCTTGGAGTTATGGCATACAATTCTGGGGTTGTGCCAGCAAGAAATACATTGCAGCGCTTTCAAAATAAAGTACTACGATATATCGTAAATGCTCCATATTACATTAGAAACAGTCGACGTCGTGGCAAAAAGGTGTGCCATTGCTCACAAACAGCAATTGAAAACACATGTCAACGTTACAACATCCAGTCTTCTCCAGGTGGTTGCAATACCTATACGGCTAAAAAGGAAAACAGTGGCAGACTTAATGGACAGCGAGTAGCAAAATAGCTTCATTTTTTTTACATTAAATATTCAAATCAAATTGCTTATTAGTACCTTTTTTTTTGTTATTTGTACTAGGTGCAATATTAAAAAACAAAAAAAAAATTTTTTAGATGATCGAAAAATTCAAATAAATTTATATTTGTGAAATTGTTTAATTAACAAAAGAATAAGACAATAATAATTATTAAACAATTGATTTTCGAAAATTTTATTTAACAACCTAACAAGCCGTATTATATGCGTAATAAGTCAAGTCCAATAAGGAGTACTAAGCATATGAAATTAGCCCTAGGACTCACCGCAAGTACATCTACCGGCAAATGGGACGGTAAGCTAACCCTACAGTTGTATAATAGCAACGGGGAATACTAAGACCACGTGGAAGTGCTGCAAGATATGGTTTTTTTTTACTGCACTGCATATAATTAAATTAATTAAATTCATTTAAACAATAAATTAAATTGTGCTTATTTAGTTGTTCAATTTTCCATGTCTTATTGCTGTTTTAGTTTCTTCCAATTTTTTTATATACAATCTTATACCTTTTTTGTTTCTAAATTAAATTTTTTGCCTACTTATTTTAATAATTTGATTTTTTTTATATACACATCAAGATTTTAATTTTTCGGGAAGTAATTGGTTTTATCTATGAAATTATCTATTTATCTATAATATTCATTATTAATTTATTTTGAATACGATAATAGTCACACTAGATAAGAATATTATAAAAAAATTGTTTTAGTTTAAATGATATATGATCAATATGATCAAGCCGTAAGCACATCAGGTGTCCTTGTTTTGCTTTTTTTCTTTCTTTTGATTATCCACAATTTCTTTTCTTTAATTTTTTTTTTGTGGCTGGGTAGGCCAGCAGCGCATGGTGATGTCATTAGACGATGATGGTAAGTGCCTAAGTTTAAAATAAGGTACATATATGATTGGAAAGAAAGAAAGAAAGAAAAGGAACACAAACTAAGTAGATGTGCAGAGTGAGTTTTTTTAATTTATATTTGTTTTTTTTTTAGGTTTAATAAGAATAAGAATAAGAAAGAAGAGGGTACTAGCTCCCATTTAAGCAGAGCACCGCGATCATGATTAATCTTTTGTGCTACAACAGACCCTAACTGAACAAAAGACATTCCGCCTTTCGAATTAAGGCCAAAATGTCGGTTGTTGAGGACCTCTTAATGTAAGGAGGTGCTAGCAATTCCCGACCCAGTGATCTCCTGGCCAAGATCAAAACTGGGCAGTCACATAGAATGTGGCTGGTTGTCTCCTCTGCCTCCAAGCAGAGTCTACAATCTATCTCTTCGGATATGCCCATTTTGTTGAGGTGGTAACGTAGCCCATGGTGACCCGTTAGATATCCCACTAGCAACCTCAACTCTGTTCTGCTAAAGGAGGATATCTTATTATAACTATAAGGGAGAACCAGCTCTTTAGCCTGACGGTTACCTCAACTGTCGCGCCAGTAGCGACTTCTCTCGGTTGAGATCCAATCATTGATTAGAGACCTAGTTGTAGACCAACTTAATCCACAAAAAGGTTCTGGGCCACAGATTAAAGTGGCGGATCCTGCCCCTGCAAGACTATCGGCAGACTCATTACCATTAATTCCTGTGTGACCAGGCACCCAGCACAGTGTCACTTTATTATTGCTTGCCAGCTGCTGCAGTGTGTCATAGCAGTCTGCTAGAAGTTTTGAGAAAAACTTTCAGGCACATAACGCTTTGATTGCTGCTTGACTATCTGAATAAATACAGATTCGGGCGCCTTTCAACCCCTTGTTAATGTTAATACGAGCGCAGACCTTGATGGCGTGAACCTCAGCTTGGAATACAGTGGGCCATATACCCAGCGCGAGCGAGATTCTGGTGTTTGGACTAAATATTCCAGCACTAACTCCTTCCTTGCTTTTCGAACCATCAGTATACCACGATATCACTTTTGGTTCGAGTCTAGGAGTGCCATTTCGATCGGGTATGAGGACTTCGAACTTCCTACCGAAGCGAAGTTCCATCTTCATGCGATCTGTCCTATCGCAGATCTCTATGCCAGGAACTAGTCTGCAGATAGAGTTTTGACTGACGAGACTTCCGTGCATGTTGATAACAGGATGTAGCCTAGCTGCACTCATAGCTGCTGTCTTTTTAATAAAAAGGTGCAGAGAGGTGAGACCAACTATGGACTCCAGTGCTGATGTGGGACATGTTCGAATAGTTTCCGTCATAGCGATGCATACGAGTCTTTGCAGTATATTGCATTTGACTATTGCAGCATTTTGCTGCGCTTTATTCCACCGAACAAGAGCTGCGTAGAATACAATGGGTCTGTTTGGATTGGCAACCCTATTGAATGATATCTAATAAGTGCGCGCGCTGAAAAGTTTAATGAAAAATTTAAGTTGTATCGTGAGAAACTAATGGCAATTGGTTGATTACTGAAAATAAACGTTTGTGTAATTACTACGCGTTGGAATGTTGTGCAAAAATTTGACAATAATATAATTTTATTTATTGAGACTTCAGTGGACAAAGTAACGTTGTATTTAACAACAGTAAAAAACCAAATATACACAAAAGTGCTTACGATCAGTGGAACTTAAAATTATATTCAGCGTTAAGCTCGATACAAAATTATAGAAAATATACTAAGTATAAACCTCTGAGTGGTTCTTGTCTGTGCTGTCGGGTTTGTGTATCAAACCGAATTTTATGCTTTCAAAGAAAACACAAGCAGAATTTAAAAAATTAAAAACTTTTCAGTTATATCATAACATTAAATAAAACATATATATATAATATGCCAGTTGAAAGATCGCCACCAGCAGACGCAAAAAACGCCACGAGTAAATCGGACCTGTGCACACCGAATAGGCAAGCACAGAGGCAAGAAAAACGTATGCGATCTGAGCTTTCGCCAGACTTATCGCTTGGTGATGTTATGCTGGCTATTCAGCAAATGACGGATAAATTCGAATCGAATATTGCAGGCTTGAGTAACAACTTTGATTCCCAAATAGCTACGCTAGCATCAAAGAGTGACATAGGCGAACTTAAAGAACAGATAGGCAACGTGTCTTTGAAAATGGAAAAATTGGAGAACGAGAACCAAAGGCTGAAACTAGAATTAGAACAATTAAGAAATGATAGAGATGTGGACAGGAGGGAGATTGAAAGACTTGTCGAACAAAGTAAAAGTCGTAATGTACTATTGAAAGGGTTACTAAAAGATAAAGCAAAAAAAAGTGATCTGGAGGCAATTTTCCGAGATAAAATGGCTATGACAAGTATTAAAGTTCGAGACACAAAAGTAATATTTGAAAAGAAAAATAAAGTGAGTGTAATTGCAGAATTGGAAACAACAGAAATGGCAAAAGATGTCTTAAAGAATGGTAAAAAACTGCATGGCACTCCGATTTATATTGAAAAGGACTTGAGCTTGACTAGACAGGAAAATAAATCAGCTTTATTACAGCTGAAAAGAGATCTTCAAGCCATCAGAAAGACTCACAAAATTTATGTTAAAAATGACAGTATAAATATATCAGGAAAATGGATGCACTTTGATAAAAATAAGAAACTAAAGTACAAAGATGGTGACGCTGTTGAGCAATTAAAGCAATTGTATGGTGAGATTGAAGTGGAAGAAGTGGTGGAGAAAAACAAGCTTTTTAAAAAAATAAATCAGCCAAAAAACTGTTTGTAAAAAAGGAAATCGTTAAAGATGTCAAACAAAAAATTAAATACTGTGGAGCGCAAAAAAATGCAAATGCCGCCAGGTCAGACACTAAATTAGCATATAAATTTGTTATATTTCTGTGTTTAGATAATTCTATTTTATTTATTCACAATCATTTATACAATTATCAATTAATTATTACATGTGCACGCGCTTTTTCCTATCTATCTTCTTCGCATGCTCCAAAACAGCTGATCACCTTAGTGATGCCATCTCGTTACGATAATTGCTTTTATATCGTAACACCTTCCCTTTTCGAAATGTTTTACTGTGGTTGAAACCTAGTGACTGCTTTGCGATTACGTGTTGTCCTACGAAGAACAGGTGATGTAGGTGTTGAAATTGTCGTAGGCATTATGGGTAACTCGGTTGGCGATGTCGATAGTGGTAGAATATTAGGCAGTGTCTGATTGTTGAGTGCTTTTGTAAACTGATCTGATTGTTGCGGTAAGTCATACACATCTAGTGCAGCTTCCCAAAACTTGTGGTTATTATTTTGGTCGTGGTAGCGCTTTCGTAATTGATTACAATGAATTCGAATTAATTTTCCATTGTTCAGAATAACATTGTACATTACTTTTCCTTTTTTCTCAATGACTTCCCCAGGCATCCATTTGAAACGGTTAACTCCATTTGGAATGTTGGCGTAAATTTTATCTGATGGAAAGTATTTTATTTCCTTGGCACCGTGCCTTTTGTTAAATTGCTTTTCCATTTTGAATTTATTTGGACTTAACTTTGCATTGTGTAGCTTTTTTGGCTGCAGCAAATCTAAATTTATTCTCATTTTCCTTCTGAACATGACTTCTGCTGGAGATCGCTTCTCTGGTGAGTTTACATTCGGTGTTGAACGATATGTCTGAAGAAATGTGCATAAATTTTGTGTGATCGTCCCCTCTCCTTCTAATTTTTTTAAAGATCTTTTGAAAGTGTCTACAAACCTTTCAGCTTGACCATTCGACATTGGATAGTAAGGGCTGGAATATAGATGTTCAACGCCGTTATGTTTTAAGAATTGTTCAAAATGTTCACTACGAAACTGTGTTCCATTATCTGATACGATTGTTTTTGGCAGACCAAATCGGGCAAAAATATCATTTAAAATATTCACGGTTGCTTGTGATGACATTGCTTTTGTTTGAACAGTTTCCGGCCACTTTGAATATGCGTCGACAATGACCAAAAAATACCATCCTTCTATCGGTCCAGCATAGTCTATATGCACCCGCTCCCACTGTTCGCTTGGTGTGGGCCAAGAATGAAGTAATGTTTTCGTAGGCATCTTTGCTGCATTTGCACATTGATTGCAATTTTGAATAAATGTTTTTATATCAGTATCAATGTTTGGCCAATATACAAAACTCCGTGCTAATGCCTTGGTACGCTCAATACCTTGATGACCACGATGTAATTGTTTAAGTACACGTTTTTTGTAGACTTGTGAGATAACAATACGTTCACCGTACACAACACATTTATTTATTAATGATAACTCATTTTTCCTGTGTAAAAATGCTTGTAATTCTCTATTATTTATTGTTTTGTTAGGCCAACCATTTGTAATATAATATATTATTTGTTTTAGAATTGGATCTTTTGCTGTTTCATATGTGATCATTTTATGTGTTACTGGTAAAGTATTTATAGTGTTAACTATAATTGAATTTACACTTCTTTCTAATTTGATTGATGCTACAACGTAATTTTCAGAAATATTTTCGTTGTTGTTTATAAGTCTAGATAATACATCAGCGTATCCGAAACTGTTTGTTGAAATGAATCTTATTTCAAAATCGTATCCTAAAAGCTGAATTGCCCATCTTTGAAGACGATTAGCTTGATGTATAGCAATGCCTGTTTTTCTACCGAAAATAGTCAGTAAAGGCTTATGGTCGGTATGCAATATAAATCTTCTTCCATACAACATTTTATGAAATTTGGTAACTGCAAATATGAGTGCAAGTCCTTCTTTTTCTATCTGGCTATATTTTTGTTCTGCCGGAGTGAGAGAACGTGAAGCATGGCAAATAGGTTTAATGGATCCATCTGAATATTCATGCATGATGCATGCGCCTAACCCATAGTTTGATGCGTCAGCAGCTACAATTAGCTTCTGATTTGGATCATAATGGCATAATAATAAATTTGATGACATTATAGCTTTAAGATGATGGAAAGACTTCTGATGTATCGCGTCCCATTTCCATTTTACATTTAACTTAAGTAAATTATCAAGTGGTCCTCTTAACTCACGCATCTTCGGAACAAATTTTCCGTAAAAATTTATTGCGCCAAGAAAAGAACGTAATTCTGTAATATTTGATGGTTCTGGCATTTGCTTGATAGCGGCAATACGTTCTGGATCAGGTTTTAACCCTTCTTGATTAATGATGTACCCTAAATACTTAATTTCAGTTTTAAAGAAATTACATTTTTCGTATTTTAATTTAAACCCATAATCACGTAGCCTTGTAAGAACTGCATATAAATTGTCTGTATGTTCAGATGCTGTTTTACCGGAAACAAATATGTCATCAATATATGATGCAGTGCAATTTAGTCCTGCTAACATTTGGTCCATAATTTGTTGAAAAATTGCTGGAAATGTTTTTATTCCAAAAACCATTCTGTTATACTGGAATAGCCCGATGTGTGTATTTATTGTTAGTAGATGTTTCGATGCGTCATCAACCTCGATTTGTAAGAATGCATCCGATAAATCTATATGGCTAAATATTTTTGAATTTGCCAATTTTGAGAATATATCTTCTGGTAATGGTAATGGGTATTGATGTGATTCGAGGCAGTTGTTTAGACCAGTTGAGAAATCAGCACATATGCGTACGTTTCCGTTTGTTTTTTTCACAACAACTATAGGTGCTGCCCATGCGGAGAAGTTTACTGGTGAAATAACCTTTAATTCTTGGAGTCTTTTGAATTCATCTTCAACTAGTTGTTGTACCGCATATGCAACTGGACGCTTTAGCCTAAATACTGGCTGAACGTTTGGTTTCGTTGTGATTACTGCTTTTGTTTTAGTGCATAACCCCATTTTGCCATCGAATACATCTGAAAAAAAATGTTTCAGGTGAGTATCTTTATTCGGATTTGAACACAATTGAATACTATCCTGATTTTGACAAATACTATTACAAATAGAATTGATTGACATATTACATAAGTTTAATTCTTGTATCCAATCTAAACCCATTACGTTGAGATTTTGTATAGGAGTAACAAAACAAGTTAAACTTTGCTGTTGATTTCGAAATTCTACGTTGCATTTAAATTTTGCTGACAATGGTAACTCATCTGTTGCGCTGCGTGCTGTATGTTCTGATTCGCTAACATTATCGGCTTGGATTTTTTTAAATTGTCTTCAGAAATTATTGTTATATCTGATGCTGTGTCAAGTTGCAAATTTAATGGTGTGCCATTAATTTTGACTAATATGTATTTGCGTTTAATCATATTGACTTTGTTTGTAGTAAAGATGCTTTTTGAATTGAATTGACGGCCCTTATCAATTTTATGGTATTTTTGATTTTCATTTTGAGTTTTTCGGTATTTGCAATATCCTTCTTTATGCCCGACAAGTTTGCATCTGTCGCATTTGTGATTTTTGAATGGACAGTGCCGCGAGTAATGAAATTCACCACAAAACCAACAAGGTGTTTTCGGTAAACTTGAAGGTTCTTTTGACTTGCCATTATTTTTGATTTGTTTTTCAGTTTTATGGTTATTGACACGTAAACGATTTACCTGTGCATTGCTTTCTATGAGCATTGTATCGACTTTTAAATTTAGTATCTTTTGGCATTCTGTTGATAAGGTCTCCAACGTGACTTTCGTGCTTTCATTTTCCAATTTATTTAACATTTTTGTGCGTAATTCAAATTCTGATGGTGACTTTAACCCCATAATGAATATTAGACACTTAAATTGATCTGTAGTTAAATCATTCAGTTTGAATAATTCACATTGCTTATTAACCATGCTCGCATATGTAACGAAATCTTGTGTGGGCTGCTTTGTTATCTGTAAGCAATTGAATTTAGTATTGAATAGTGAAATCTGATTTCCAAAAAGTTTCTTAAGTTTTTCTACTGTGTCTTTAAAAGTAAAATCGCGACTATGATTTGGTAGAATATAATTGATGTATTTATTATGAACAATGGTGTTCAATTTACGTAAAAGCAATCGTGTTTTTGCGGCATCATCCAATTTTGCAGCATCGATTAGAAACAGATCTTCGTACCGCATGTACCAAGTGTCAAATGTAATGTTATTTTCTGGATCGTGACAAAATTCTGTGATGTTTGATGCAAGTGCTTCAATTATGAATTCTGGTTCTGTTGGCTTGGATGTTGACGATGAATGCTCCGCTACTTCTGATTTTCCTTCTTTAAACAATTTTGCGATAAGATTCTGCATTGCAAGATTGTCTTGATGATTTTGATTCTGAATTTGTTTCAGAATATCAGCAAGTTGCTCTGCCATCTTGCTATATTTTTACACTTTAAAAGTTTTCCTCGTCGCCACTGTTATATTTCTGTGTTTAGATAATTCTATTTTATTTATTCACAATCATTTATACAATTATCAATTAATTATTACATGTGCACGCGCTTTTTCCTATCTATCTTCTTCGCATGCTCCAAAACAGCTGATCACCTTAGTGATGCCATCTCGTTACGATAATTGCTTTTATATCGTAACAAAATTTAAAATATTATCGTATAATGTAGCTGGTTTAGCAAATAAGTATAAGTTTATAGAATTTATGAAGTATATTAAAAAATTCGATATATTTGTTTTATTTGAAACATTTTTAGTAAGTAAGACAGATTACATTGAAAACACATTTATAGAATACAATCTTCATTGGGTGCCTGCAACAAGAACAACAAATAGAGGTCGAGCCAGTGGAGGAAAATTGTATGGTGTACGAAAGCAATTGCAATTTTGCGGTACTGTGGTGTACAAGCACATTATGAACTCAACAATAATCGAGATAACCACTAATAATCAAAAGTTATGTTTAATCCCAGTTTACCTAAATTGCAATAACTGGCTAAATGATCTCAATAACTTATGTGAAATATTAGTGGAAGCTCAGAACGAAAATGTCATGATAATAGGTGACTTCAATGCACGAATAGGCAAAGAACAATGTCTGGAATTCCACCCAAATATGCAGTGGGCTGAATTATTGGGCCACAGAGTAGCAATGGATACAATTGTAGATAGAAATGGCAAACAATTACTAGAAATTTGCAATTCATTTGGTGTCACCGTGTTAAATGGCCGCACTAAAGGCGACAGAGAGGGTACATTTACGTTTATCAGAGGTGTAGCAAGGTCAACGATAGATTATTGTTTTGTGAAAGGAGTATGGTTAATAATAACTGAAGAGTTTCAAATACGTGACATGATATACTCGGATCATCAGCTATTATGGTAAATCTAGATGCCTCTAATTCAAATGAAAATAAAATGCAGTTGCTACCGAAACTGATATGGAAAGATAAATATAAAGATCTGTACCAAGAAAAGCTTGAAGAATCCCTTAATGCATGCGAGGGTAGTACATTTGCGTCGAAGGAAGGAGATGACATTCTTCAATATTGTGTAAAACAAGCAGCAAAATCGTTTCAGGGTAATTCGGCGGGTATAAATAGGAAACAAAAATGGTATGATTTTGAATGTGAAACTGCAAGAAAGAAATCATTTAAATGGCTACAAACAGTTAAAAAAGGTGGTGATATAGCTGATTTAGAGAAATACAAAAATGTAAACAGAGAATACAAAAAGCTGTGTGATGAGAAAAGGAAGTCATATTTCAATGAAATGGCAATGTCGATATCCCAAGCAGCTGATAGTAAATCATTTTGGAGTGGAGTTAAAAAAATAAATCGTGCAGATTACATAAAAGGAATTAAAGTGGACGCCGAAGCTTTGGCGGCACATTTTAAAAACCAGTTAAATAGCAATATAGTAAGCAAGTCTTTCAGTTATGCCCTGCCGTATGTAATAAATGAAGCGTTAGATGCTCCAATAAAGATTCAAGAGGTCTATGCAGTGCTCCAGAATTTAAAAAATAACAAAGCCGCAGGTGAAAACAGAATTCCAGCTGAGTTTTTAAAATATGCCACGCCACAATTTATAGAGCATATGGCTGAATCATACAATTATATATTTGAAAATGCAGCCCCACCAGATAGTTACAAAAAAGCCATAACATTTCCCCTATTTAAAAAAGGTGACCCAAATAATGTAGCAAATTATAGAGGAATAGCATTTCTTAATACATCAGCTAAAGTCTTTACAACACTCCTGTATAACAGAATTAAAAATTGGGTTGATCAAAACAACATATTAAGCGAATTTCAAGCTGGATTTCGAAAAGGTTACTCCACGGTAGATAATATTTTCGTCATCACTAGTGTAGCGCTAGAGTTTATTGCAAAAAGCAAGAAGTTATATGTTTTTTACGTAGATCTTAAAGCTGCTTTCGATACAATACAAAGAAACGTACTATTTTACAAACTAAGCCAGCTGGGTCTTTCAACAAAAATTTTGAAAATACTGCAAAGTCTATACTGCAACAATGAGTCAACAGTATGGGACGGAAGAAGGTTGTGTCTTAAGCCCTGTATTGTTTGCACTGTTCGTTGATGACTTAAGTAAATTTCTTTCTGGTGGTGTTACGATTGCCAATATGTGCCTAAAAGTACTATTATATGCTGATGATATTGTGTTGTTTGCAGATTCTCCAATAATGTTACAAAATATGATAGATGAATTAAATAGATATTGCAACTTATGGGGACTATCTATAAATACAGACAAATCAAAAGTGATGGTATTTAGGAAACATGCTAGAAGATTGAGAAATGATGAAAAATGGTACCTTAGCGATGATCAATTAGAAGTGGT